TTGTTTTACCTCAATCCTAGTATTTAATAGTTATAAATAAGTCTCATAGGGTTAGATCACTAACTCCAATAATTTATTGTCCATCAATAGTTTTAGGTTTAAGTATTACTGCAGCAGTTCTTCCTTGTTTGGATGCAACTCAGGCAGTCTTGGCCATCATATGACAGTTTACATAACGTGCTTCGTATCGTATAGACCATTGTTGAAGGAACCTTTCAATGGGAACACAAGCTGAGGTTGTTGTACTTTACGAGTCTCTCCAACTGTTTTTTTTCTCGGTCTGTTTTCACTGAACAGATTTTTCTAGTGGTAGATGTTTTCCTCTAAATTTTTACTAGTGATAAACTCTGTTGACAGATATCTTCTAAGCGTAAACAAAGAAATAGTCCATAATAAACACGTTCTTGCTGAGAAGGCTGTCACTGACTTGCCCATTTAAAGATCAGAGATGTTTGTGACTTTACTTTGATTTAGTAGATTAAATAAAACATGGTAGCATATTCACATTTATAGGGTTAGGATTTTATCTGACACACCACCGATCCGTTCATTATTTGGCATATATAAGTAAATGGAATGATCTACAATTATGTGTGTGTGTGGAGGATCCTAATAAAATAGAAATCGGAGCAATAACGATTTAACCTCAATTAAAATGATTTTTATTTATATCATATAACAAATGTGATATTTCAGGTGATTGTCAATGATTCACGGTATTTAACACACAGAGGCGGACTTGAGGAATTAAATTAAGGCTTAATAAGTCCTCAGAACCGAATCAAAAAATAATATTTAACAATCAGAATCAAAAGATGTTTAGAGATTACTAATTATTAAAGAAAGAGTAGTTATCTAAGATAAATATTTTACACTGGTTTAGTGCAGGCAGTACTAACCTTTCCGACTGGTGGTCTTAAAGGTGATGATGTTAGGCTTATCCATTAAATAAAACCAATATGTAGTTGTTCTTGTTAAAGATCAGATAAACTTATTTTTTGAAATGTTGTATATCCGTAAGATGGACGAATTATTTTATTTTATACTTATTGTAATCAATATTTTTTCTTTTGTAGTTATACGACAAAATTCGTCGTTCCGAACAAAAATACAAGGTGGCGCTCGAAGTCTTATCATACCATAATACGTGTACGGAAATGGAAGTAAATGAAATTAAACATTCTCCATCCTTACTCAACACACAGTCGTTGATGGAGTATGCTGTCTTACTGTTTTCTTTCAGTTCGTTCAATTTGTGTGGTCTAAATAAACACTCCCAGTATTTCTAAGCTGAGAATTACAACAATAAGAAAATAGAAATACGAATTCGTTAACATGTGTTCCTAGGAATAAAAAGATAAGACCACTTTATTGACCTAAATACAGCTTTACTCACTATCCCCTTGAAAACATTTTCTTTCATCTCGCCAAGTGTTCAGCCTTTTTATCTCGAAAATTGTATAAATATAAAAATTTAACGACAGGGGTATAAATGTATATCTAAAATTCATAAAGTAATAATTTCTCCCTTAATCCACCGGGTTTCGATACCCGTGGTGGGCAGTGCACAGATAGCCCTATATGTTGCTTTGTGATTAACTACAAACAAACCTTTAATAGACGTAGTTAATATTATAAATAAATTGAATGATGCTTAAAAGCATCTGAAGAATAGATGTAGCCTGTAGGTAAAAGATATATTTTACTCAATTACAAAATATTATCGTTTTCACATCTTTGATTCGATAATTGTCAAGAAACTTTAATACCAATACTAAAACTCTTATAGCAAAATAATCAAATTAAATTAAAACCACATTTTAAACAAATTTGTTAGGGATTCAGTTTCATATTGTTTTTTTCTATATTTCTTAGATGCTTTTATGAGTACTTCTGACAAAAAACGTTTTATCATCATAAACATCTGAAATAATTGAGACTCTTTTTAAAAGTTTTAAAATAGGTATAATCATCTTAGACATTTGTATGGGTCTGATCATCTTAAAAATCTAAATTATCTGTTGATATATTAAACATCCAGATTACTTGTGACCATCTTAATACATAAAGAAGTGATGTAATACTTTTAAGCAAAACGTTTTCAAACGTAAAGAACTGATACCATAGTTTAAACATAAAGAACTGATGTGATATTTTTAAACATAAAAAAATGATGCAATATATTTAATCTTAAAAATTATGCAATATTTTTAAACAAAATAGATTTGATGCAATTTGTTTAAAACAGAAAATTGATGCAATATTTTCAAACGAAAAGAAATTGATGCAATATATTTAAACAAAAAGAACTGATGCAATATTTTTAAACATAAACTACTGATGTAATATTTTTAAACATAAAAAATGATACAATATATTTAATCTTAAAAATTATGTAATATTTCTAAACTAAATAGATTTGATGCAATATTTGCAAACGAAAATAAATTGATGCAATATATTTAAACAACAAGAACTGATGCAATATTTTTAAACATAAACTACTGATGTAATATTTTTAAACATAAAGATTTGATGCGACATTTTTAAACAAAAAAGAGTTGATACAATATTATTAAACATAAACGACTGATGTAATATTTTTAAACATACAGAATTGATGTGATATTTTTAAACATATAGAGTAGTTCTCACAGTAGTTCGATTAGTTGTAACCGTCTTAAATGTTTAGAATACATGCTGACCAATTTAAGTGTCTAGTTTAGTTATGATCTACTTAAGCATCTAGAACTGTTAGGACTATTTTATGCATGTATACAGTACCTAGAGTAAATATAAAAGTTTAGACTAATTGTAACTGCCTTATATATTTTTAAGTACATAAACTGCTGTTTGTCACAAACAGTTAACCGATATTTTTTTAAAGTTTTCAGTTTTCCCCCTATTCTTTGGATTCTGAGCAGAAAGTTTCTGCGGCAATCTTTATGTTTGTCGATCTATTTGGACTTCACAAGTGAGTTAAAATTTAGCTTGTTTCTGTAAAAGTTTTAAACCATAGTTAAACGTGTATTCACTTATTATAGGAAATAATAATAAAAGTATTTTTCGTGTATGGTTAAAGAACGTGCTTATGAAGATGTTTTGAATAATGTATATACTTTCAAAAGTCTCAGGACAATGTTCCGTTCATAACTTGTTAATCTGATTCTAAAAGATATGAGTGAGGCCAAAACTCAAGAATACCAAGCTTATTCTAAACATCTCAAGCTATAAACAATGTTAAGTAAAAATGTGTTCGTCATGAATAAAACGTTTTATATTCGAAATCCAGTTTAATCCAAGTGTTATTTTTAATAGATCAAAAGAACTTTCATGCCTAAATTTTTCTTGTGTATTTTTCTCTTTATAATTTTTAGTATTAATATATTCCAAAATTTGCTGTGTAATAAAAAAAAAGATAAGGGTTTATACATATTTTGTAAAAACGACAGTAAATAGTGTAATTTATGTCAAAATACCAGATGTACAAAATTATTTACAAGGCAAGGAAATGACACATACTCGTGCATTTATCAAATAAATCTGATACATTTGACAGTATCACCACGTAAATGCCAAATTTGGATTAGGAAAGCTAGATGGATCTGGCCAATGTAATATTTCTGTAATCCACATGAATCTACGAGTATTGCATTGCAAAATGCTACTGGTGACTTAAATTTTGAAAAGAGACTTCCTTATATATATGATTGACTTTCCACTGTTAAAAAAGTCTGAAAAAATGTAATATATATATATATGTATTTGATCTATAATATTATTATAATATATCTATATAAATGTAATAGTACTGTCTGTTGTATGCCCATGTAACTACTTCGCAGAGTTTGGATGGATCTTCACCAAATTTGGTATGGAGGTTCATTGGGTCCACGGGGAGATACATACAGATTTAAAGTTTTGCGGTTTTTACCACTACTTTGCCCCCTCTAGATGGATCTTTACCAAATTTGGCATGAAGGTTTGTTGGATCCATGACAAAATACATACAAATTTTCAGTTTTGCATTTTGCGGGTTTTATGGGCGTTTTTTCACAATTACATATAAGGGAAGCAACTTTTCATGTTCTAAAATTACTTTTCATTAATCACGAATTTACATAATTTCCGTCCAGGGGACGGGTACTCCAGCTAGTTTATATATTTGGTTTATGATATTATCAGGTTCGATCAGGACTGTTTGATCCGGTTCACCCTAACAGTGAAAAAGAACTACCGACGAGTGCCGTATCACGACTGGGAACATGGATTCACATGATTTACATAATTTCTGTCCAGGGGACTGGTACTTCAGCTAGTATATATATTTGATCTATAATTCTATTAGGTTCGATCAGGATTGTTTGATCCGGTTCACCCTAACAGTGAGGAAGAACTATCGACGAGTGCCGTATCACGACTGGGAACATGGATTCACATGATTTACATAATTTCTGTACAGGGGACTGGTACTTCAGCTAGTATATATATTTGATCTATAATTTTATTAGGTTCGATCAGGATTGTTTGATCCGGTTCACCCTAACAGTGAGGAAGAACTATCGACGAGTGCCGTATCACAACTGGGAACATGGATTCACTGTAGCTAACGCTATGTATGCTATTATTAAGAACGCACGTGGAGCCTTCAGACCATTAGAGGTTGTTATATGTCTATTTTGTTTTCTGTCTTATTAATTTCCTCACCAGGTTCCAGCTGATTTGAATAAAACGAAAACACTTGTGAAAATGTCACTATAGTAAACGCCACTTTTAGAATCAAATTCCATTCTAAAATGTAGGGTTTCTTCCCTAAAAATGTAATAACCCTGATACTGTTTGAATCTTAGTGTACAGTGTTGTATATCCTTTGTGACATCGCAATATACCTTTGTATTGTGTCGTTGTTGTTTACAGCAATACAGCAAGTCATTATGTTTGGATTAAAAAAAAAATCCGATGGTAAAGCACTTTAAATAAGTACTTAGCTCATATATTAAATTTATCAATATATACATAGCTTTGATAGCTAGAGATGAAGTTGCAATAAGTATCGCCCCTCAGTGGCACAGCGGTATGTCTGCGGACTTACAAAGCTAGAATCCGGGTTTCGATACCCGTGGTGGGCAGAGCACAGATAGTCCATTGTGTAGCTTTGTGCTTGATAACAAACCAACAAACAAGCAATAAGGATCTTATATCTATAAAGTAACGAGCTGATAAACATTTCTGGCTAAACGTAGAAAAAGATTTTGTTCTTGAAATTAAATAAAATATGGAGCATTTTCATTTTTTTAAATTTTGGCTTTTTTACAAAAATATATTATCAAGAGTAACGAATCTAATGAATAAAATGACTAAAAAAGTTGCACATCTATTAAGAAAAGCAAAACGATGGCATCGAAACGCTGATAAAAATTATATCATTGCGTTAAAAACAAATATTTTTTTTCGTCAAAGTAATGAAAGTATCTAAATCACTAATTATTTACCATACGTTTTGGGAATAAGGAAAGTTGGTTATTATTTTGTATCATCATACAAAATGTTATAATACAGCATTCAATTAATAAAGAGTAATTATAATATCAGTAAAGAAAAGACTTATTTCGTATGAATTTCGACTCGCAATCTGAGGGTCGCGGGTTCGAATCTCCGTCCCACCAAACATGCTCGCCCTATCAGCTGTGGGGGCGTTATAATGTGACGGTCAATCCCACTATTCGTTGGTAAAAGAGTAGCCCAAGAGTTGGCGATGGGTGGCAATGACTAGCTGCATTTCCTCTAATCTTTCACGGCTAAATTACGGACGGCCAGCGCATATAGACCTCGTGTAGCTTTGCGCGAAATTCAAAACAAACCAAACCAATAATATGAATTCTTATATTCCAAAAAATAGGCTTCTCAAAATTAATCGTGAATATCTTCGGGACTTTATAATTGTATCGAGGGATGCCTTATTATTTTTATTTATTAAAATTTTAATTAAATACCAAGCCAAAATGGCTTGGCATGGCTTAGTATTTATAACGCTCGACTCGCAATATGCGGGTCGCAGGATAGAAACCCGTGGCCAAAAATGTTCTTCCTTGCAACTGTTATAATGTGACAGTCAGTCTCACTATTCGTTGGTGAAAGAGTATCCCAGAAGTTGACGGTGGGTGGTTTTGACTATTTGCCTTCCCTCTAGTGACTAGTCTATGACTTCAATATTAAGCACGTCAAGCGCAGACAGTCCTCGAGTATCTTTGCACGAAAATTCATCAAACAATTTTTATTTTAAATAAATATGATACACTAATTTATTCAAATTTTTAAATTTAACTTTTATTTTTAATTTTAAGTATCTTATGCCACATTTTAGGGACGACTGCTTCAAATTTAACCTTGATTTTTGATAAAAATACATAACGTAACTATCAAAATCATCAAGAAAAATATCTGGAGTCATTAATACAATACACAGTAAGACATTTGTTGATTTCTTAGGAACTCGCACTTTTCGTATCATGTTTATGTCACGACCTGGACCACAGAGGAAAAAATAACCAGTTTATGGCGATATCAGCTTCTCCTCTCGCTTCCATCTACACCACATCTACTCTGGAGCATCATCATTTTAACCAAACCGTGTCCATCCTTCAGGTAATATATATATTACCCATTTAGCTTTCTACATGGTATATACCAGTAACATTCCTCTAGTAGAGTGCATCAAATAACTAGGCATGCTAATTTTCAGGAAGCCTTATCAACTTAGTTGATTCATGTTTTACACTAATATTATTCTTAAGATTTGATGTACTGAAAATAACTAATCCTACATGATTAAAATCAGCAGCTGTAGATAAATTCTGTCTGCCCTTCAGATATTCTGGACTTACCTTCTTTTAGAACGCGTGACAATTGGACTTGTTGAACCTGGCCAAGGACAGCAGACTGTTCCGTATATTACTTCATAATGATTTATGCATTTTATGATAATATTTTTATGATGTGTCTAATATTTGTAGCCCTCTTTTCCCAGATTGAAAAGAAAAAAATTCGTTTACAGATAACTTTGGTTCCTAAGAGTGTAAAAAAGTTTGGATAAGGATATTTAATGAATATTACTTTCAGATAACTTATGTATACTCCACTTAGCTAATATTTAATGAAGATCACCGGAGTTTAAATAGCGTATTATTAGTCTGCATTCGTAAGCTTACCAATGGCTCAGCGGTTAGTCTGAGGCATACGACGCTGAAAATCCAGCTTCGATACCCGTCTTGGGCAGAGCACAGCTAACTCATTGTTTAGCTTTGTGCTTATAAACGAAACTGTATTCATAAATAATTGTTGTTTGTTTGCTTGAAGTTAATCGTAAAACTACACAATGAACAGATTATCTGTGATCTGCCCACCACGGATATCAAAACCCGGTTTCTAGCGTTGTAAGTACACAGACATACCGCTGGGCCAGGGGGCATATCTATAAATAATTTTTATTCTATTCACAGCAAGACGGACACAACATTTTCAAGAACCTCTCTCCTGGTGAATATAAACAAGTAAGTTTTTTGTGTTTTGTCGGAATCAGTGATTCTTAACAATGTATAATTACGTTTAGTTTTTATACTCGGTTAAGGTTCTAGTGACGGTGTGTTCAGGGAAGTGACAATTATTAATAAATGTGTCAGATATGGATTATAGTTCATGCTACAGATTGCTGCTACTACACATGTTAAATCTAAAAACAAACTCAATAACAGAAAAAAATAAATAAAAGGAAAACAACATAAACTCCATGAAGGAAATAAAATGCACAAACTCAGACATACTAATAGGTGTCTTACCATATCACAGCTATGTAACCAAAAACATCATAAACATTTGGAAACATGCATAAAAAAAACAAAATAAACAGCAAAGTTACTTTTATTACAAAACTGGGCACTAAAATCAAAGGTCATCTAAGGAAGGTTTATTCTGACAACTTCAACAACGGAAGCATCTACAAGTATCGACATGATCGATGCGATGCATTTACTTATGCGAAACGGGATGCAACATAAGCATTTGGATCAAATAACATAACAAACTCCCATCACACATTTACGAACACAGCACAACAAATCAATATCCAATTAACATTAACAACTTTAAGATATTATGCAATGAGAACAACATTAATAGAAGAAATATAAAAGAAGCATTAATTATTCGTGAATTAAAACCTAATTTAAATCAAAACACAGGTGTCACCCTATATGTTTTCTAAATTGGAACAAAATGCTCGTGCAGTATTTCACAAAATAGAGACAGTTACCTGATGATGTCCACCGAGTGGTTGAAACGTTGTAAAAAAAAAGTTAAATAAAAATGATCCACTCAAAAGCTATATCTTTAGACTTTTATGTTGTTATTAGAGGAAAGATAATCTAGCACTAACAATATTAATAATTAAGTATGGTTATGAATTACATGGATTACATGTTAACTGGTATTAGCCGTTCTCTCTTCTTTCGAATCCTTTTCTCTGTTTTAGGCTTTAACTATTGTAAGTGTGAGTGGACTCAAGTCGCATGTCTGACGTTATGTATTTAACATACTTTTAAAAACGAAACGGCACGAGCTGTTGTTATTAGAAAGAAGGGAAGAACATTCAATGCTATATATTTCACCTAGAGAAAATTTTACAGTTAATAAATTCAAAGCCATTAGATATCAAGAAGAAAACTATCCTATATAAAACCGCTGCTGCAGTAGGACTTGTGTTTTTAAATGTCCTAAATATAAATTCCTATGTTAGCAGCGGTCGTGTTTTCCAGTACTTATACGAACTTGAGTTCGGAAATATGAAATAATTTATTTTAACACCAGTTATTTAAACCTTTGAAAACAAATGTTTAACTATTTTTAAGGTCCTGAGGAACATAAAGCACTGTATCTTAGCAACGGATTTAGCTTTATTCTTTCCGGCCAAAGACAGACTAAAGGAAATTGTGAATAAAGAAGGATTTGATTCAGAATCAAATGAACACAGGTGATCTCTTGTTTATATATTCTAGTTATGTTTATATATATATATATATATATAAGGTATGCTTATGTTCATGTATAAGTCATGTTTTCATATTGAAGTTACGTGTAATTTCTGAAATCAAGAACGCTCACCAAATGCCCAGATTTATTTATAGCTACGATACAGCTTAAATATTAACTACCTGTTAACAAGTTTTTTTTAATGTAGTTCAATCTACTGTTTAGCGTCTTAACCGGATGTATGCATATATATATATGCCGTTTAACTGAAGATATCTTAAGAAAAATTTTGTTTATTTACTTGGGAACATTTTGTAATTTTTCTTGATTTGTTTTTTTCAACAATGTCCACTTTTTTTTTCGTTTCTATGTGATAAACTTCACTAAGATAATGTTTTCAATCAAGTAAAAATTTCTATCGGTGTATATAAATTATCTTTCATTTCTAGGATTTTGTTACAAGCAATGGCTATGACTGCCTGTGACCTCTGTGCCAGTACAAAGCCCTGGGAAGAACAAAGGAAGACGGTGAAGGTGATATTTGAAGAGTTTTATGAACAGGTAAGTTACATTCACCATTCATGATATAAAGTACATTATATTTGTTAGTTTCCACGTTATTTGGTGGGAAGATAGCCCTTTGTGTAGCTTTAACAAACAACAACAACACTTTTCCGAGGGAAGACCCTGGTGATGAAAATATTAACTATTTTATTACAGGCTCGATGTTTAATAGAAGTTACTTTCAATACATTTGTTGTTATTTTTGTGTTTACTCTTTCACGGTGTATATCTAAGATACATTCATATTAGCTATGTCAGTAATAGTTTGATATATATATATATATATATATATATCCATACATAAATTAATTAACTTTAATTCTGACATCCCCATACATATGAAAAAGAACATCCCAAAATCCCAGTTCATTAGGCTACGGAAACTGTATAGTGAACCTGATGATTTCAATGCCCACCCAACAGAATTGGAATCATTTTTATATGGTAGTGATCACCCCAAATTTAGCTCGCAACTCTGTTGTAAATAATTCTAACATTTTAAAGGAATCTGACACCAAATATACCCCCCATAATGTCCTACCGCCACGATATCAATATTGGAAACTACATAGTTCATAGTAGCCTTAAAACACCCACCTCAACAGACACAAATTTTATTGTAGGTAGCTATCCTTGTAATAGAAAACACTGTAACACGTGTGCTTACATTGACTCAAGAACATCCCTGTACAGGGTCCTAAGTCAAGTTTTTACATTAAGAATCAATATAACTGCACATCAAAATGCGTCGTATATTTTATGGTTTGCTCATGTTGTGAAAAATTATACGTAGGAGAAACCAATATATTATTAGCAGAACGTACCCGAGAACGTCTCGGAGACACAATAACTTGTAACGCAGATAAACCAGTGGCTCGACACTTCAACTTGCACAACCATACCCTTGACCATTTCAAAATCCTTGTTTTGAAAAATATTTTGTTTGTTTGTTTTGAATTTCGCGCAAAGCTACACGAGGGCTATCTGCGCTAGCCGTTCCTAATTTAGCTGTGTAAGACTAGAAGGAAGGCAGCTAGTCATCACCACCCACCGCCAACTCTTGGACTACTCTTTTACCAACTCTTTTACTTTTTTTTTAGTGGGATTGACCTTGTAGGACATACCAGCGGAATTCATGCCAA